ACATCCCTGCTGCTGGGGGGGGGGGCCTTGGTGGCAGTAGTGGGAGCTGGTGTCACAGTTCCCGAGGTAACAGCCCCTCAGGCCCCTTCCTGGCCTCCCCCCACTCAGGGACGGGGCCTCCAGCTGTCACCTTGCTTGGGGTGGAGCCCTGCAGTTCCCGCCCTCTCCCCGCCCCTGGGAGGGCCCTTTATACTGTTCTCTGGCTTTTTCAGCCAGGCCCCAGGGGTCTCTGCTATTCCCCCAGGGCTGAGACCGCCCCAGGCGGCTTCCCTGCCCTTGGCATTTGGATCACTTACACCCCAGTGACTTTAGCTCCCGCAGGAAACTCTGCCAACCCCCCGCCCCCATCCCCATGACACCTGGAATACAATCCCCAGCCAGCCCAGAGAGAGAGAAATCTATGGAGTCGCTGCAATCGTCTGAATAGTCCCGGTGCCCACAGCACCTGGCAATGCTCGGTCCAGGTGCCTGAGGGAACGGGTGAAGGGGCAGGCGTCCCACCAGGGTGTGGGCGGGGGTACCAGGCACCCACAGCCCAGCAGCAGCTGCTCAGCTGCCAGCACCCCCCTTTGCAGCTTCCACTGCCCTGGCAGAGGCATGGGGGGGGGGTTGTGTGTGCCTGTGCCCCACACTCACCTCCGCTCCTGTTGTAGCGCTGAATCAGGGTCTGCAGGCTGACTTTGTACCGTGCCTGTACGTTCCTCAGGTTCCTAGTCTCCCTCTCCCAGTACTGGGCCTCCACCTTCCCCTCCATCCAGGGGGCCTGAGGCTGCGGCCGGGCTGTCTGTGTCTCGCTGTCATAGTGAATGAAGGCCACGTCATCCACGTACCCCACCGCGAGGAAGCTGGGCAGCCCTGCTCCGGGCTCCGACACGCCCGTGTAGAAATAGCGCAGGGAATGAGAGCCTGGCGGGGAGGAGAAAGGGGGGAAGGATGAGGGCTCCCCACACCTTGCCCCACCCTCCAACACCTCCCCCGCCTTTCTGAACCCCACCCCCGCACCCTCTCTAGGCCAGTAATCAACAAACATCATAGCTTGTCACTTGTAACTTGAAAGGCCTTGCACCCAACAGGAAGTACAGCACAACCCCACAGTTACGAACTGACCAGTCAGCCACACACCTCATTTGGAACCGGAAGCAGCAATCAGGCAGCAGCAGAGACACACACACACACACACACACAAAATATACAGGACAGTGCTGTGTTAAAGGTAAACTACTACAAATAATGGGAAAGCAGCATTTTTCTTCTGCACAGTAACATTTCAAAGCTGTGTCCGGTCACTGTTCAGTTGTAAACTTTTGAAAGCACCAGAACATTTTGTTCAGTTACGAACTGTCACGGAGTGTGGGGGAGTCGGGGCCCTGCACCCCCGGCTTCCTGCGATTCACCATGACTCTCAGCCAGCCAGTAAAGCAGAAGGTTTATTTGGATGACAGGAATACAGTCCAAGACAGGTCTTGCAGGCACAGACAACAGGACCCCCCTCGGTTGGGTCCATCTTGGGGTCTCAGGGCATCCCAGCCCCCCTTGGGAGGTCAGAGCCCTGTCTGCCTCCCAGCCATTCCACCAGCCAGCTCCCCAGACTCTCCCTTCAGCGACCCCTCCCGCAGCCTTTGTTCAGGTTTCAGAGTAGCAGCCGTGTTAGTCTGTATCCGCAAAAAGAACAGGAGTACTTGTGGCACCTTAGAGACTAACAAATTTATTAGAGCATAAGCTTTTGTGGGCTACAGCCCACTAATAAATTTGTTAGTCTCTAAGGTGCCACAAGTACTCCTAGCCTTTGTTCAGTTTCCCGGGCAAAGGTGTCACCTGGCCTCTAACCCCTTCCTGGGTTCTCATGTTACATGCTCAGGTATTCTCCGTGGGTCAGTCTCCCATTCCCCTATGCAGACTATCCTAGCCACACTCCCCTGTCAGCATTCACCGACCACAGTAAGAACAGTCCCAGTTCGTCACATCTCCCCCCTTCGAGACCGAACTGAGCGGGGTCACTTTAGCCAGTGACCCGGGGAAGTTCGAACCTACCCCCGTTCCCATGGATGCCCCCGCATCCCTCCCATTCCTTGGTGGGAATTACACCAGGCCCCTCCAGTTTCACGCCCCCGCTTAGGTCGGGGGTGCTTGATGACACTCGTAGTTCGCATGTGGGAAGGTTTATGCGGCCTGTGCCCTTTTCCCACCCCCATACCTCTGGGGTTCCAACTGGGCTGTGGTCTTCTCCCAGCGCTCCAGTCTGGAGGTCGGTGATTCGGGCTCTCTTGGTTCAGAGCCGCCCTTTTAACCTTGGCCACCCTCCGGAAAGGCTCCTCTATGCTGGGCAAGGGTCCTAAAGCCGTTTTCCCCTTGTCCCAGGCCTTCCTCCCCCTCTGACAGGGGTCA